GTGGTTTTATGTTGTAAGTCACATTGTTTTTATATAAGTGCAATGAACAAAAAATGCTGATGGACCTCTTTTCGTCTCACTGTTTTTCTCACGTTTTTTTCTTCCATCTAACTTGTGTTTTAACTCCGTTTGATTTTGTTACATGTGATGCCTTACAACATAAATTTTTGTTTGGAAGGCAGCGAAGAATAGCCCCATCTATTTCCTGCGTTATAACAATCTTAAATAGTTTCAAAGTTAAGGAAAAATAATCAAAATAGTTGTAAATTGTAACTCAACGTTCGCCCTGTTATTAAGTTTAAGTTCAGAAATTTCTGCAAACATTATTAGACTACGCATCGAATTAGTCATAAAAATTGGGCCGTTATAAGCTTTCACTTTGCATACATTATTAAACACACATCGAGTAGAGTCATAAAAATCGGGCCTTTATAAGCGTTCACTTTGCATACATTATTAAACACGCAATGAGTAGAGTCATAAAAATCGGGCCTTTATAAGCGTTCACTTTGCATACATTATTAAACACACATCGAGCAGAGTCATAAAAATCGGGCCGTTATAAGCGTTCACTTTGCATACATTATTAAACACACATCGAGTAGAGTCATAAAAATCGGGCATTTATAAGCGTTCACTTTGCATACATTATTAAACACACATCGAGTAGAGTCATAAAAATCGGACCTTTATAAGCGTTCACTTTGCATACATTATTAAACACACATCGAGTAGAGTCATAAAAATCGGGCCTTTATAAGCGTTCACTTTGCATACATTATTAAATACACATCGAGTAGAGTCATAAAAATTGGGCCTTTATAAGCGTTCACTTTGCATACATTATTAAACACACATCGAGTAGAGTCATAAAAATTGGACCTTTATAAGCGTTCACTTTGCATACATTATTAAATATCACATCGAGTAGAGTTATACAAATCGGGCCTTTATAAGCGTTCACTTTGCATACATTATTAAACAGCATATCGAGTAATCATAAAAATTGGGCCTTTACAAGCTTTTGCTTTATAAAAGTGTTTTAATTTAAATAATAAGCATATTATAAACTTAAATGAACGAATTACCGGTTGGGTTGTAATTTATTCAACTAGTATCTCATGGATAGATAGTTAACTAGGGCAAGCAACTTTTTGGTTAGTAAGCACTATTTTATTTTCTCCCAACTATCAACAGCCTTCTTAACGACCTTGTCTTTTCTTTAACCATAACTGATAGATTTCAAAAGGTAAGAGACATTTTGCACGAAATTTTAGTCTATGTTTACAGTCCTTGGTTGCGAGCTTTGTTCGTGTTAAAGCTGGTGGAACCTTATATAAAGATCAGCAACTTAGTCGAGCAAAACTAAGTTTTCGTTCCAGAAAAAGGAGTTTTCTTTCTTTCTTTTCTATTCTTAGTAATTTTAGAAAATGAAATTTTGAAAGTGACATTGCTTACTGGAAGTTGATTTTCATCTAGACTAAGATTAAAAAATTATATCGTTTTTGAAAACTTGTTTCTTCGTCTGACAGAAAAAAAAGAAAAGAAAAAAACGAAGGATTAAAGGGAGGAAAAGCTTGAAATGATTTTAGTGTTATAAAGCTGCTACAAATTCTACAAAGGACAAATTCTACAAAGAAATTTGATACACGAAAACAAAATCAAGTTGTTTTTATACAATTTTCACGACATGTTTCAGAACTTTTTTAAAATTGGTAACTATTCTGTTAGGTTGTGACCATCTCTAGTAAACAGCATTTCAATATGGTTTGCATAGCGGAGTTTTTTTTTTTCAAGAACCATACTAACATTTCAAAATAAAAGCTCGATGTTTCCTTATGTACTACAATAAATGACATTTTTAAAGGAAATAACTCTGTCACCATTTGCAAGCTGATTAAATACTGAAAGCAGCACCTGAAATTNTTTTTTTTTTTTTTTTTTTTTTTTTTTTTTTTTGGAATTTAAACACAAGGTCGAGCAAAGAGAAAGAACATTTTCAAAATGTGCTTTACTGATTTTATAGTAATGGATGACAGCATAATTTTTTTAAAATTGAAATTGAATTAACTAATAGAAATCGCTACAAAATCTCTGTATTTGTTGGATCTGCAATGCAATGCAAAAATTCTAATATATATCTGCAGAGCACGTGATTAAATATTTAAATATGCTAATGTTTTCCTGCAAGGGAGAATAAATCTGCAGCGTATTTATTCTTCTACCTGAAATTCTATAACGTTGCAACTAAGATTTGGGAATTTCTGAAATTAATCTTTTTGTTTTCGAATTTTACACAAAGTCATAGATGGAGAAAGAACATTTTTAAAATGTAGGTACTTACTGGTTTTAAAGTAATGGAAGACAGCATAATTTTATTTTTACTGAAACTAAGAATTAACTAATAGTCAAAACCTTTATATTAATCTGCAGTACCATGGAAAAATTCTAACGGAGCTTGTGATTGGATATTTGAAATCACTAATTTTTCTCTGCAAGTCAAAAATAAATCTGTGGCGCATTAATTCTGCTATCGGAAATTTAAATGGTAAATTGAGTCTAAATTCTCTCATAGAGCATCGAGTAATTCAGCTATAGAGCATGCTGTTCGTAATATAGTCCGAATATCGAACTGTTTGCCTTTACTACACAAGCGAATTGATACAGCTCGATTTGAAGTACGCTTAGCTACAACTTTCGATGAAAAGAATGATCTCGAGTTTTTTACAATCACAGTTCAGCGTCTAACCATCATGGCTCGTAACTTTGCAACCATCGAAAACATTAAATAATGTATCATAATCTCATAATATCTGTAAAACATTAAATAATGTATCATAACAAAAATAATTAACTGGAAATTCGAGAATATTGTTTTCCTACAGTGAGTTAACATGCTTTAATGATTTCTTAGAATGGGTTACCGTTTAGAGGACAGAGCATTCGCCTCCTAATGAAAGTGAACCGGGTTCGAATCCCAGCGATAGCCGGTCAATTCAAATTCCGCACCCGGCTCATACCGACAACAGTGCTGACGTAAAATATCCTTAGTGGTAGAGGGATCATGGATTAGTCCCCTTACCGTCTGGCTTACCGTGGGAAGTTTTCCTGGTTTCCTCTCCATGTAACGCAGATGCGGGTTAGTTCCATCAAAAATTCCTCCATGAAGGCAAATTTCTCCCAAAACTTGATCCAGGAGCTCCCTTGTCTTCTGAATTGGGTTCGAAATTACAAGGCTAGGAGTTAAACATTAGTAGCTGTAAACCCAAAATTGGGTTGGCTGTTCAACGACGGTTATAAAATAAAATTTTAACTACATTAACATTTATTGTACTAAGCATATTACATTTCGAAAATTAACAGTAATTATAGATAATAATAGTAATAACTATAGATATTAATAGTAATAACTATAGATTTTCGAATATTACTCTACAATTTTTTCTCGCTTATGTATTTTGCCATCTGAATGAGATTGTAAAGCCTAAAGGAAAATAAAGCGCCAGAAAAGTAAATTCTATAAAAAATTACAATTTTGATATGAAACAGTGGTCGCCAAACTTATGAAGTTTCAGTGCTGCCTTACCGTTTTCAAATCCTACTGTGAAATGACAACCAAACAAACTACTAAATTCAACTACTAAATTAAACTACTAAACTACTAAACTACAAACTACTAAATTAAATAAAACAAGTTAACACAACACACAGTGACACAAGTTAAAAATATAGAGAAAACATTGAAAATAATAAAGATTAACGAAAAAGAGAAGAAAAAAAATTATTAAAATGAAATATTTTTAAAAATATTTTAAAAAAATTTATAATTAAAAAAAAAACTATTAAATAGCTGGAAAACAAAATAATGAAAAGATATAATCTCTTGATCAGCTCACACGATCATATCCGCAAAAAGAAGTGCTTTCTAATATTGTATCAATATAGCCCAAACAAAATATATCAAAACAATAGTGTGAGGACAACGCCCATCAACGCCTACTGTAACTAAAAGCCTCCACACTGTTTTTTATAGGTAGTCCGATCAGACCATTATGAAGGTAAACCAGTCTACGAAGGAACCGTTTAATAGAAAATCTATTAAAAATAAGAAAGTGGTAGCAAATATATGCCTAAAACTTGTTTAATTTATGAATATGATTGGTTTGTCTTATTCACTCGTCAACCACTACCGATTCAATTCTCAAATATATATGATACAATTATTTCAATTACTTTTAAAATAAAATGTGGATTCATGCGCACAACTGGTTCGCTTTTTAGATGATCTGCGCAGACTACTTATATATATATATATGTGGAGTATGGAGCTGTTGTTACAGTATTATAGTGTAATAGCTTCGAACATTACGTCATTCACCATCTTGTAATATTAAAAGAAGTAGCATCATCCTCTTGACATTGAGAGGCGCCAGCCAGACCAGAAGGGGAAGTCCCGAAGGGAAACTCCCGAATTTATAATTANGCAGAAAAAAAGAATAACTGTTAAAAGCAATATTTCTTTAAACAACATATATTGAGAACAAATATAACTAAAAATATAAAGTTAGATTAAGAAAAAATGCTACAAATAATTATAATTACTTAAAAAATTGATAAATCTCAGTACATAAAAGCATAGTATTTCTTTATATATATATAATAGCAGGGTTACATCCCTGTTATCATTGTTGTATTCAGCTTGAATAATTCAGTCATAAGCCATAATACGTTCTCAAACGGTTTATTTAAAGGTTGGCTGGTGGTTATGACAGTTCACATCCCCACGTACGAACTCTGTCTTATGAGATATTACCAAAATTAATATGAACAATTTTACCTAAGGACTTATTGGAATCTTTAATCGATTGTGACATATCAGAAATGTGTTTAATTAAACATGTGTGTATGACACTCATAATGAAACTAATTCCAACGTATCCTGTTTACGATTGCTTCTTATCGCACATATCACAACTTGCCAAAAGGAGCCAAACGAAAGGATTTCAGCTGACATTAACGATATCTCAGGTTTTTCGTTTATGCGCGTATCGTGACACTTGATTAACACCTTCAACACAAAGCCCAGCAGACTTTTGGATTACGACACTGCTTAATATCATCGCTTTTGTCCGATAAAATTTTCCGATAAGATATTCAACCCTTGGAGGCACGACAGAACATATTTCTTGGTTTCTTTATTACTTTTTATTTCAAACAAGGGATTCTCCTGCTCCTAAAATCATTCAATCGTGCCAAATAATCATGTTTGGCGATCAACGATTTTCGAAAGGACTTTACACGCGTTGAAATCGTGACCAGTCAAGTTGAGTTGTCATCCTCCTGAATTCTTGTTGTTTGAATGAGCTTGAATAAATTTTTTTTTGCTTGACACATCGGTGAGTTTATCGTTTTGTTTTATTTGAAAATTAGGAAAATTTTCTAGTCCTTTATGTCTTTTATTCAAATATTTTATTTTTACTAAAAAGGTCGACTTAAATTTAGGAAAAAAATACTGCATTTTTTTTTTTTTTTTAATCTTGTATGACAAATGGTGTAAGAAAAGTTCTTTTGACAGATTTTCTGAAAAATTGATGAAATGCAATGCAAGCAAAAAATGAAATTCAAAATAAATAAATGTCTTAAAAGTGTTGAGAAATTCCTCGAAAAAATTTATATAGAGTCATTCGGCAAATTTTTAAAATTGGAATTTTGCAACTCCAGAAGAAGTGAAATGATTATGCCTAACTATGAGATTCAAATCAGATTTAATTGGATACCTGTAAGCGACGTTCCGCTGAAGTGTTAAACCAGATTGTCTTCTGAATTGGCAAATGCAGCGATTTTCTACACTGACATCACTTGCAGGTATTCAATTTGAAACGCCATAACTTCGCAAAAGTAATTGTTCAACATAGCGGGAAATTTTTTTTTCCTGCTATTTGTGCAGCAGTTTCAACTACTCTTTTGTATTCTTGGCTTACACCGAAATGCAGGTTCATAGATTCATTTTTCTCGACATTTAAACACCTAATTTATGCTTGTAAATATTTAATTTATTTATTTATATTTCAAATTCATCAAGTATATTTACCTTATTAGCTTTTTTAATATTTTGTCTTATTACTGGCATATTTAGCATTAATCAGTTTACTCCGTATTGTACATTAAACCATTTTACTCTTTTAACAAACCTTTTAACTTTTTCGTCGAGGAGAAAAAATGGGCATTTGGTGTGCCTTATATATAAAGCAAAGCCTTAACTTTTAACTATATTTACTAGAATGCGGATAAGAATTGTTTTGACTTTAAAAAGAACAAATAGCTTAAGTATTTCTTTTTTTTTTTAAATTTTAAAAAATAATCCTGTAGAAAAAAATCATTAAAATTCAAATATTATTTTGAATGTTTTGCATATTTTTACGATTTTAACCAATGAAGCGCTGCTGTAGTTTTACAGATATTGAAAGAAAAAAAAATCTCATTTCATTTTCACAAGTTCATCAGTTTCGTTTTTATCATATTCACATTTTGTGCCGTTTTCATCATTAGACTAAAAAGATAGTCAAAATGTAACCTAACAGTTATGGACAACTCTTAAAATTTTATGATACTTTAATAATTAACATATTTTCTAAAAAAACCGTATTTCATATGACGAATTGATCTTTTGAATTATCTTTAATTTTGACTCATTTTGTTACAATTGCAATAAAATACTCGGTATGTTTTATTTAAGAAAAAAAATTCCCGATTTTTTCGTACTTTTAGTTTTTCTATTTTAAGTCTTCAAATAATTGCAATTATGTTCATTTATTGGCACATTTTGTTTAAAAAAAATTTTTTTTTTCGATTTTAAAAATTTTTTTTTTCGATTAGTTTTCAAACAATATCAATTACGTTAATTTATAGCTCATTTTGTATAATGTTCTTTTTTTTTTTTTTTTTTTTNTTTTTTTTTTTTTTTTTTTTTTTTTTTTTTTTTTTTTTTTTTTTGTTGGTGAATTTAGATTTTTTTTTGTTTTTAATCTTCAAATAAGTACAATTTTTTAATTTCTTGGCATATTTTGTTTAATATTTTTTTTAATTTAGAGAATTTTTGGTATTTTTAAGCTTTTTCCATTTTTAATCCTCAAATAATTACAATTCTGTTAATTTTCTTCAAATAAATTTAATTAAATTAACGAAAAAGGTAACAAAAATTATTATTGACGTTTTTTTTAATCATTTATAAGACAAAGTTTGTATGATCGAAGTATAGGTCTTGTTATGCTTATCCGGAGTTAATGAAAACATACATATTGAATTCCTAATGATAATGCGTGGTATGCATGAGAGAATTGTAAGCCTTGAAGGCTGTATAGACAAATTTTTGCTTGGCAAAATAGTAGTAGATGAGAACATGTTTATTGTCGAACAAAGGATACAAAAGCTATAATTTAAAAAGACTTAAGGTGAGATTAGTTTCTCTTTCTCTGTTTTGGTGAGAGTTCCGTAAAAAATATCATTATCGTTAAGGCTGTCGTAATGCTTTATTATATCCGGAATAGAAAGTAAGAAAGAAATGAATATGCAAAAATAATTATTTTGTCTTAAATTAGAAAGCTATTTGTTTTTTTTTTTTAAATTTTTTTTACTATTTTTGCAACGGGATAAAATAAAAATCATTAGTAATTAGGGAAACTGTCTACGCAGACATGTACAAAACTGTAAGTTCAATACGGTTATGTTAAAAAAAATATTTTAAATTACCTATGGTCCTTTTCCATTGATTTTGCATGACTAGATTAAACAAAATTAGTTTTTAATTTTTTTTTAATTTTTTTTTTTTTTTAACGAAGTTATTAATTGTAGTTATTAATTGTACTTAATATTATTCAGCCCCAAAAATGATGATATTGATAATGGCCAACACATTGTAATAATGATTCGCCACGCTGGGACGTTTTTCTAATAAATTTACATTTTAGAATTTAAAATTTATTTGCACTTCATTTTTTTATTTTGAAACTTTATTTACCCAGTATTCTATTTAGAAAAAAAAAAAAAAAAATCAAACCAGAAGTGTTCCTCTGACATCATAGCAGCTGAAATTAGGGTAAATCAATGCATTCGTATCATCCAGAGGAAGTTGTAAATGCCTCCTATTGTGCTGCCATCTGCTAATAATACAGAGAACCACCAACAGGAATAACGTGAATGCTAGTTAGATTTTTAGAAATACCTTTCGAAAGCTTAACTGTTAACAAAATAAACTCGTGGGTTCAGAAAGCTTTTCAAATACTTACTCTGTAACATTATATTTATGCAATTAACGTTTTTACTTGGGTTCATCCTACATGATAAATCAAGATAAGTAAACTTAGTTTTATTCGTTTTAAGTTGACTTAAAACAACTAAATTTTAATTTGTGGGAAGGTTAACGAAGTCTTTAATGTTCTATGCCATGTGGTTGAATCTATGTTTTAGATATTTCTGTGTTCGATTAACTTGTTTAATTTTATTTTTAAAAGCTCCCTTGGAGCTTTATGTTTAAGAATCATACCAATTTGTTGTAATTACTGTCAATATAGAAATATTTTGAATTCACTGCCTTATGCTGATAGATTATTAGCTGTTTTGATTAGAAAAATCTCTTATTAAATCAGCAACTTTTCATGGCATATCTTTTCATAAATGTTTGTCAGTTATCAATGTTTTTAGTTATTTTTTGAAGAATATCCAAGAAGTATATTGAAAATTTAATTATACTTATGGATTTGCCTAAAAAATAATGATAATTCAGAAAAATCTTTTTTAAAAGATGTATATTTTGTGTAATATGTTACAAAATACTGATTATTTTGTTTTGTGGGTGCTAGTAAGTTACTTTATATGTTTAAGACACATATCTATGTGATTGATATTAAAAAGTAGTTTGTCAGAAATGGTCACAATTTATAGGAACTTCCGTATTTTTATGGCTGTTCTAAAAATATAGTACCTTTATTAAATGAGAAGCTGATTTTTAATGGAAGTGATATTGTTTTACAATTGTGAATGTTTATATATGTTAATTTCAATACAATTGACATAGAAACATTGTTTGCTAGCAAGGTCACTAGGAAAACCTTTTATCAGTTTTCTTTTTTTACTATACCCGCATTGCCGTAAGAATTCGCGCTTTAAGTAAGAAAGATTTGTCAGAATGAAACGAAGATTGATATAGAATGCAGTTAGAATGAAGTATGAATCCTAGGAAGTAATTAATAAAGCGCATTTCAGAAATCTTAAAACATTATTAACTTATAAAATTAAGTCTGTAAACGTGCGGGAAGAACCTAAAAATGCTTTCTTTCTAATAATTACATCCGAGGTGAACCGGGTTCGAATCCCAACAATGACTGATTGATACGAATTCCGCATGCTGCTTGCACCGATCACAGTGTTCACATAAAATATTTTCAGTGGTAGACGGATCATGGGTTAGAGTCCCGTTGCTGTCAGGCTAACCGTGGGAGGTTTTCGTGGTTTTCCTCTCCATGTAACGAAATGTGGGTTTGCAACAAAAAGTCCTTTGCAAATGCATATTTCTTCCAATACTTGATCCATGAATTTCCTTGTCTTCTGGATTAGATTCAAAATTACAAGGCTACAGAGTTGAACGTTAGTAGTCGTAAACCCAAAAAATTAAAATTGATCAATAAGCCACAGTATTAAAAAAAATATTTTTCGTGAAAATTTTGTTAAAGTCTTGATAGACTTGTGCAAAATATGCTAATGAATGCAAAATTGAATAAAAAACTACAATGTATTTATAAGGTACCTTTTGTTAGCTCATTATGTAAAAAAAAATTTGCTTGAAAAAAGTGAAAAATCTCTTTAATGGAATAAAATGTTTAAAATACAACTTTTAACATTCGTTTCCTGCTTTACTGATAACACGAACAAGGAAATGCTTTAAAACTCTGTCACATGATAATCACAATTGTTATTGTTGATATTTAATTCTAAACATATACTTTTGTGCTTAATATTTGAAAACAAAGTGAAAAATAGAATGCATAGTTGCTGATAAAAATGGTATTTTAAATGTTGCGGTTAAAATAAATTTGCTATCTTTGTTTATGAGATTATAAAGAATAGTCAAAGGCAGGTACTTTTGTAGGAAAACTCAGATAATATTTAATGATAATTAAGGATAATACAAAAAAATGCTTTGGTAGATATTTGGTCGACAAGTTGGGATGAATTTTAATTAAAATTAAAAACTTTAAAGTTTATCTAGTAATTAGAAATATTTAGTCGATAAGCGAAAACTTAGGATGTCAGCTCCATGCATGTTTCTCAGACGTTGTGCAAAATATTCCAGAAACTATGAGCCTGAAAAAAATAGTTAATGAATTATGGAAATTTGCAA